CCCAGAAGCAGGTCGTCTACGAATGGTTTAGCACCAGGTTCCCCACGAACGTGCGTTGCGTGACGGGCGAGGGGGCGGCCCCCTTTCCGGCCGCGCCCCATTTCCCGGGACGAGGGGCTCTCCGCACCGGACCCCGGTCCCGACGCGCGGCGGGGCACGCCACGCCACGCGGGGCGCACGCGGCGGCCCCCCGGCGGGGACAGCGGGGGACCGGCTATCCGAGGCCAACCGAGGCTCCGCGGCGCTGCCGTATACTCAGATGCTTTTTTAAAAGCTTTCTGCAAATGTGCTTCCGTTGAAACTCATGGGAAGAACTCTGAGTACAGGTTTCTTACAACCTTAAGATCATTAAACTGAAGTAAGAATTTCCGGGACTAGTCAGAAAACTGGATTCAAGCAGAAGAATTAATAATATAAGACTGAATAAATTGAGGAAGATAATTATAATTTTATCACATTTTTGTTGAAAACATTGCTGATTTTTTTTTTAAGTTTTGTTTTTCCTGATTTAAAACTTTTTTCTCTTAAGCTGTGGCTTACAGCAATTTGATAAAATATTCCTTTGTAACCAAATGTGAAACATTTGTCTTTTTCTCCCTACCTGAAACCCTCCAAAATTCAGAAATTCTCAGTGAATATTCTTTGTTGTATGGTAATTATAGTTATTTGCATAAGTGCAGTAAGAATGTGTTCTCCTTATAACAAGACATCATTGGAAAGAAACACTGGAGTTTTTTTTCTAAGGCTTTGCTGGAATGTCATGTTTGAGAGAGACATGCATAGTCTCAGATATGACCAGACAGCTTTAAGGAACTAAGGTTGACTTTACAGAGCCAATAAAGCCCCTTGGAAATACCAGCCTGGTACCTTCTTACAGAGTTCCCAGCAGCCTCACCAGGGAGTAAAGAAGGTCACTTCCTGGCAGGTGCAGGAACCTCAGAATATGTTGGGGACCTCGAGAGAGAGGAATTAACCCAAATCTATAGGTACTGCAGGCGAAGTATGATGGCAAGTATTTGGCTTGGCTCCTGGCCTTGAGAGGCTATTAAAAGTTCAATCTAGAGATTCCTTATGAAAAATTCCAGTAAAGCAGATTTAAAAGATCCTGTATGGTCAACTACTATTCTTGCTGCATTTATGTCAATAATCAAGCCAAGTTGTTGGTCTTTTTAAACTAGACTTATTTTGCAAGCAAATTAGTCTTGTTTTATCTTTGGCAAAAAGGAGGGTGATAGAAAATATGTTTCAGTAAAACACCTATGTAAATATTAAATTCTGATACCGCTCATTATATACTGAATTAGATCCTAGTTTCCTCCAATGACTGGCTACACAAATGTTAGTCTCCAAACTAACATTTTTTAAGTTTTTTTTTTTTTTTTAATTTATTTGAGACAGAGAGAACGAGAGAGAGAGAGCACATGAGAGGGGGGAGGGTCAGAGGCAGAAGCAGGCTCCCCACCGAGCAGGGAGCCCGATGCGGGACTCGATCCCGGGACTCCAGGATCATGACCTGAGCCGAAGGCAGTCGCTTAACCAACTGAGCCACCCAGGCGCCCCATTTTTTAAGTTTTTCTTCCACCTTCTGAGTTGGATTCATTTAGGAAGTAAAACTGCCCTTTTTCCAGAAGCCCTGCAAATTAAACATGACCAACCTGATGTAAACTTCAGAGAAATCATCACAACGGCTCATGCACAGACAATCCTCATGCCTATTGCTATGTGAGCCCTTAGAAGATCACCAGAGACACTCCACCTACAAACCAGGAGAGTCTCCGTCAGATCGTCACGACCTGCTGTCACTCTGAAAATGCTTCGAGCCGGACATCTGGAAATCTTGAGTGCCTAGCCTAAAAACTCAAAAACTGGATTATGATTTGATCCAGTTATTAACCACCATTTTTCTTTTATTCCATTGATGGGCCTCTTCTTGATGCCCTGATTGTTTAAACAAATAGGCCTAACTTCAACCACATACCTGCTTCACCACCTCCTGAAGTGAAGTTAATGAAACGGACCTATTGTCAGAACTGAGACCAATTCAATAAGACGGAACAGTCTGCCAATTCAGCTTTTAATATACAAAACTCCCAGGGAAGTTTCAGAGGGGGTACTGTAGGGGCCAAGGGCAGGCTGCTCCAAATTGTGCCATTTTGTCTTATTGGTTCTTTTAAATAAACGTTACTTAAGAGACAATCTATGCAATAAGGACTCTCAGAGCCTCCTCTGTTCCCCTGAAAGCAGGAAATAAATCTTCCATGTGAAAGGTGCCCTCCCTTTACAAAGAAAAGACATCTTTATCACCAGAGATAGGGACAAACCTTGTTACTTTGTTACTGATCTGCTGTCACCCTAAATTCTGCTTAGAATTCCTGACTAGTTAAAGCTCCCAAACACCTGTTTTCTTTATCCTGTTTCACAAATGTATTGTCTCTTTGTCTAAAATGTATAAAACTTTCCTATCTTGGTCATTTCCTTGGGTCTTGGTTTCATTAATGGACCTCCATGAACTTACAATAAAACTTGTTTGGTTTTTTTTCTCCTGTTAACCTATCTCATGTAAATTGAATTCTTACCCCAGCCGGAAGACCTTGAGGGTAGAGGATGAACTTTTTCTCCCTGAAACCCTGCATTCCTCTAGTTTATACGGGCTCTCAAAGCATGTACATAGCCCCCTCCCTTGTCCAAAGGGGCCTCATTTTGCCTAATTTCAATGTTAAATCTCCACTCCGAAGTGAACAGATGTAGGTTTGCTCAGTGCGCATGCTCTATCCTTCCTCATTAATAGTCATAAATTTCCCCGCCCTTTTCATCAATATGTCTGTGATCCCAACCTTTAAAATCATGTTCTAAGCTCAGGTGAGGGAAACAGAGTTTTTGAGCCAGCCTCCTGCCTCCTTGCTAGGCCGCTTTGCAATACAGCTTTCTGCAAATGACCGGCGTGACACGGTGCTTTGTGTCCCTTGCGGGTGGCAAACAAACTTTTCACTTCCGCAAAAGATCGCGCGCCCACCCGTGTGTGGGAAGCAGCTCAGACCAGCTGTTCAGCAAAGTGCTGAAAGGGAACCCAAACCACTGTTACCTAAGAAAATTTCACCAAGGAAATTTGGAGATCTAATTGGCTTTATTCAACGATTCATGAATGGGCAACATCCCATCTGAGGAAGTAGACAGGTGCTCCAAGGAGTTGTACAAAATGGAGGGTTTTTATACAAGGACAGTAGGGGCAAGAAAAGTTCTTAGCAAAAGAAAAGTCTTGTTCCAGACGAGGCCGCTTTCTAGGGGGAAAAGCAAGTTGTCTTATGCAGATTACCTCATCTTTCTTTGGAGGGTAGAGAGGACCCAGGTGGCCAAGTCATTGATAATGATTGAAAGATTATACTAGATTACTAACTGACCAATTTAAGGCTACGTTTCTGGAGGAGATTGACATTGCCATTAGAATATGTATCAAGCCCCCGGTTTGGGAAATCGGTCTAAATGGGGCCTGTGGGTGTGTGTGTTTTAAGATTTTATTTTTGAGTAATCTCTACACCCAACATGGGCAAACCCAAGATCCAGTCAAATGCTCTATCGGCGTTCCCCCACCCTCACGTTTCTGGGGGTTTGTGTTTTTTTTTTTAACACCATGTAGGAGAGGCAGAATTTTACCTCTACCCTCTTAGAGTTTTTTCAGGAGAAAAGTAAATGACATAAGGTCAACAGGAGAAAAGCATACAAATGTACTTAATACAAGTTTCATGTGACATGGAAGCCTTCAGACCCAAAGAAATGGCAAAATCTACATGCTTTTATACTAGGTTGAACACAGTGAAACAATTGTGGGAAAGTAAACTATGTGGGGAGGCTTAAGGAAGATAACTATTTTAACAAGGTCTAATACAGAATTCTCTTGGTCTGAACTTCTCCATAAGAATGTTATTTCCCTTCTGCTCCAGGGAGGATATCTTCTGCATGGAATTTCACCTCCTGCTTTTTTTTTTTTTTTTTTTTTTTGAGATAGAGTGAACGTGAGCTGGAGGGAGAAGTAAGACTCCCCGCTGAGCAGGGAACCCAATGCAGGGCTCAATCCCAGGACCCTGGGATCATGACCTGAGCCCAAGGGCAGACGCTTAACCGACTGAGCCACCCCCGTGCCCCCATCTCCTGCTTTTGATGGAGGTAGTTACACAAGAACTGGAGGCAAGGACGGTGATAAATAATGACACATTAGAAGCCTGAGGGCAGGGTGCCTGGGTGGCTCTGTCCTTAAGCATCTGCCTTCAGCTCAGGTCATGATCCCAGGGTCCTGGGATGGAGCCCCATGTCGGGCCCCTGCTCAGCAGGGAGCCTGCTTCTCCCTCTCCCTCTCCCACTCCCCCTGCTTGTGTTCCTCCTCTGGCTATGTCTCTCTGTCAAATAAATAAAATCTTAAAAAAAAAAAAAAAAAGGAAGAAGCCTGAGAGCACAACATCCTGACATTGTGGCTTCCGACACCTGGGGACTGACAGACGGAGAGCCACAGGTGCAGAATGCAGTCTCTTCTTCAACCTCTGCCAGGTAACCTAGAGCTTCTTTATATTTACATTGCAGTTCACACACACACACCCCATGGGAGAAAATGGCCATGACTGTTAGGGCAAGAACTTTTTAGGGCCAAAAACTCCCCCTTCCGACCGGTAAGAGGAGTCCTTCAGATGATTGTCAACAACTTCAGGGGGACACCGCCCTAGCTATGACCAAACCAGACAAACCCTTAGCCCCAGTGCGTTGCCACCCTTGGGCCCGCCCACTGTCCATCTTGAGAGTGTACTGTCCTTAATAAACTGCTTTGTGCTTGCTCCTTTCCTTCTGGCTGTCTTTATTCCAGCGCGATCCTCATGTAAATCTTGCGGTAAATCTTCCGTGGGGAATCCAAGACCTGAGACCTCCAGTCACACGACGCAGACTCTCCCACCTGTAGCTTTTAAGAAAAAGGAAAGTCAGAGTGGTTTTTGGAGAGAACCAAGGCAAAAGAAATGTAGATAAAATTGAATTTCCTTGCAACTTGCAGCCCTTTGATAGATACCTGAGACACGCAGAGTGTGACTTTCCTCAGAGAATTCACAACTGCCTTAATGTTAATGCTTTGCAACCTTAGCTCGACAATAGCCAGACCTCCAGGGTCCTGTTAATCCTCTTTGATATGAAAATCCTTCTGGGGACACCTGGCCCGCTCAGGCCGAGATTACACGACTCTTGATCTTGGGGTTGTGAGTTCGAGCCCCACTGTTGGTGTAGAGATTGCTTAAAAATAAAATCTAAGTACAAAAAATACTTTTGGAAACTTCCTCTATTTCTATCCACCCCCCAATTCAAAAGTAATCAATTGCTCCTCAAAATCTGTACTATATGGATGGAGGTTACTGTGATGTATCCTGCATAACTGACCACCCAGAACTGCAGGGGCACAGGCAGGCTAAGGAATGCTGTTTGTGAGACTCGTGCTGCATGAATGACCTCGGGAGCCTGATTGTTTGAAATATATTAGCTGGCCTCCAGGTCAGAACTGGCCCTTCTGTTCTGGACACAGAGAGCTATAAATCTTGCTTCATATCCCCTCCTGCTCCAAGCTGGTCTGGCCCCTGGGAATGGAACCCAGGAGGGGAGGCAGGTTCCCATAGCCCCGTCTCCTTGAAAATGTAAAAACATGATAACATAGAAATGCAGTTCGCTCCAAACTCCATGTAGGGGAACAAATGTTTAACTTCAAACCCCGTCATTTGTCCTCTAAGTAGGGCCTTTATGGGGATGGTCACTCTGCCCAGGTCTCTTGGTTGGGACTCCTGCCCAGCTGTTTCCACTGGGGCTTCCCCAGCTAATGAGGTTGGATGTTGTAAGTACCCGATTTGATGTAACTTTGTCCTATTCTCATTTACTGATATTACCCTTATCTACGTGCCGATTTCCCTTTCTGTTTCTATCAGATTTTTACATCAATAAAGTGTTTTTCCCTTTCCAAACCGAAAGTACTGCTGTCGTGAATCTTTTTTTAGAACACAATCCCAGGGGTGCCTGGGTGGCTCAGTCGGTTGGGCGTCTGCCTTGGGCTAGGGTCGTGATTCTGGGGTTTTGGGACCCAGTCCCACATCCGGCTCCTTACTCAGCGGGGAGCCTGATTCTCATTCTGCTTGTGCTCTCTCTCTGTCAAATAAATAAATAAAATCTTTTAAAAGAGAGAGAATTTTTTTTTTTAAGATTTTATTTATTCATTTGACAGAGCGAGCACAAGCAGGCAGAGCAGCAGGCAGAGGGAGAAGCAGGCTCCCCGCGGAGCCTGACGCGGGACTCGATCCCAGGAGCCTGGGATCATGACCTGAGCCGAAGGCAGATGCCTAATGACCGAGCCGCCCAGGTGCCCCAAAGAGACAGAATTTAGAACACAATCCCAGTACAGCTCTTTCTGCCTTTGGGCCCTGTCGCCCACCGTACTTTAATAAAAACACCTGTTGGGGTGCCTGGATGGCTCCGTAGGTTAAGCGCCTACCTTTGGTTCCTGGGATCTAGCCCCGAGTGGGGCTCCCTGCTCAGTGCAGAGTCTGCTTCTCCCTCTCCCTCTGCCCCCTTCCCCCGTGCTCGTTCGCTCCCCCCTCAAATAAATAAAATCATATTTTTAAAAAAAGATTTAAATTCTTTTTTTTTTAGTGATTTTATTTGAGAGAGAGAGAAAGAGAGCACAAGCAGGGGGACTGGCAGGCAGAGGGAGAAGCAGGCTCCCCTCTGAGCAAGGAGTCCAATGCAGGGACTCGATCCCAGGATCGTGACCCCAACTGGAGGCAGACGCTTAACCTACTGAGCCACCCAGGCGTCACTTGTACATTATTCTTTCATAACAAATTTAAATCAGGATGCTAACAAAAAGCTCACTGTAAAAATAAAAATTAAGTCAGATAAGCTTCCTCTCTGGACGCCTGCCTCATTCCCGGCCCCCCAGCGTAGCACCGTGTTAGCCACCACTTCGCCCACTGGGCTGGCGTCGCCAAGGCACCCGGACACCGGAGAGGCTCGGGAAACAGACCGCGCTGGTCCCGCTTCGGCCCCGCCCCGCGCGGAGCATGCTGGGAGTGGCGCGACCTCTTCAGCACGCCCGCCCTCGTCCTGCGCCCGGCTTGGTGCGCGGAGCCTGCTGGGAGGTGGGGGGGGCCGGTAGTGGGCGGGTTGCCCTGGCAACAGGCGCCGCTGGCAAC